AGTTTTTACACCATACTATACTATGACGTTTTTTTGAGGTTTTACACCATACTATACTATGGAGTTTTCTTTAGTTTTCATGCCTTACTATACTATGACATTTTTATGAGTTTTTATGCCTTACTGTACTATGACTTTTTTGTAACTTTTTATGCCTTACTGTACTATGTCGTTTTTTGGAATTTTTACACCATACTATACTATGACGTTTTTTTGAGGTTTTACATCATACTATACTATGACGTTTTTTTGAGTTTTTATGCCTTACTATACTATGTCGTTTTTATGCCTTACTATACTATGACTTTTTTTGAGTTTTTACACCATACTATACTATGACGTTTTTTTGAGGTTTTACAACATACTATACTATGGAGTTTTTTTTAGTTTTCATGCCTTACTATACTATGACATTTTTATGAGTTTTTATGCCTTACTATACAATGACTTTTTTATGACTTTTTATGCCTTACTATACTATGACTTTTTTTTGAGTTTTTACACCATATTATACTATGACCTTTTTTTGAGTTTTTACACCATACTATACTATGACGTTTTTTTTAGTTTTTATACCATACTATACTATGGAGTTTTTTTTAGTTTTTATGCCTTACTATACTATGACATTTTTATGAGTTTTTATGCCTTACTATACCATGTAGTTTTTATCCCTTACTGTACTATGACTTTTTTATGACTTTTTATGCCTTACTGTACTATGTCGTTTTTTGGAATTTTTATGCCATACTATACTATGACTTTTTTATGACTTTTTATGCCTTACTATACTATGTCGTTTTTATGCCTTACAATACTATGACATTTTTATGAGTTTTTATGCCTTACTATACCATGTAGTTTTTATCCCTTACTGTACTATGACTTTTTTGTAACTTTTTATGCCTTACTGTACTATGTCGTTTTTTGGAATTTTTACACCATACTATACTATGACGTTTTTTTGAGGTTTTACATCATACTATACTATGACGTTTTTTTGAGTTTTTATGCCTTACTATACTATGTCGTTTTTATGCCTTACTATACTATGACTTTTTTTGAGTTTTTACACCATACTATACTATGACGTTTTTTTGAGGTTTTACAACATACTATACTATGGAGTTTTTTTTAGTTTTCATGCCTTACTATACTATGACATTTTTATGAGTTTTTATGCCTTACTGTACTATGACTTTTTTATGACTTTTTATGCCATACTATACTATGTCGTTTTTATGCCTTACTATACAATGACTTTTTTATGACTTTTTATGCCTTACTATACTATGACTTTTTTTTTGTTTTTACACCATACTATACTATGATGTTTTTTTGAGTTTTTACACCATACTATACTATGACTTTTTTTGAGTTTTTACACCATACTATACTATGAGGTTTTTTTTAGTTTTCATGCCTTACTATACTATGACGTTTTTTTGAGGTTTTATGCCTTACTATACCATGTAGTTTTTATCCTATACTGTACTATGACTTTTTTATGACTTTTTATGTCTTACTGTACTATGTCGTTTTTTGGAATTTTTATGCCATACTATACTATGACTTTTTTGTGACTTTTTGTGCTTTACTGTACTATGTTGTTTATATGACTTTTTGTGCCTTACTATACTATGTCCTTTTTATGCCTTACTATACTATGTTGTTTTTATGCCTTAGTATACTATGACTTTTTTATGACTTTTTATGCCTTACTATGCTATGACTTTTTCATGCCTTTTTATGCCTTACAAAACTGTGTCGTTTTGTTGAATTTTTATGCCATATTATACTATGTCACTTTTTTTGAGTTTTAATGCCATACTATACTATGACATTTTTGTGAGTTTTTATGCCTTACTATAATATGACTTTTTTATGACTTTTTGTGCTTTACTGTACTATGTCATTTATATAACTTTTTGTGCCTTACTATACTATGTTGTTTTTATGCCTTAGTATACTATGACTTTTTTATGACTTTTTATGCCTTACTATGCTATGACTTTTTCATGCCTTTTTATGCCTTACAAAACTGTGTCGTTTTGTTGAATTTTTATGCCATATTATACTATGTCACTTTTTTTGAGTTTTTATGCCTTATTATACTATGTCATTTTTATGCCTTACTATACTATGTCCTTTTTATGCCTTACTATACTCTGACATTTTTATTGCTTTTTATGCCTTACTATACTCTGACATTTTTATTGCTTTTTATGCCTTACTATACTCTGACATTTTTATTGCTTTTTATGCCTTACTATACTCTGACATTTTTATTGCTTTTTATGCCTTACTATACTCTGACATTTTTATTGCTTTTTATGCCTTACTATACTATCTCGTTTTTTGACATTTTTATGCCATACTATACTATGTTGTTTTTTGAGTTTTTATGCCTTATTATACTATGTCATTTTTATGCCTTACTATACTCTGTCATTTTTATTACTTTTTATGCCTTACTATACTACATCGTTTTTATGCCTTATTATACTGTGTTGTTTTTTGGAGTTTTTATGCCATACTATATTATCGCGTTTTTATACCTTACTATACTATGTCATTTTTATGACTTTTTATGCCTTACTTTACTATGTCCTTTTTTTGAGTTTTTATGCCTTACTATACTGTGTCGTTTTTATGCCTTACTATACTATGTCATTTTTATGATTTTTTATGACTAACAATACTATGTCGTTTTTTTTACTTTTCATACCATAATATTATACTATGGAGTTTTTATGGCTTACTATACTGTCATTTTTATGACTTTTTATGACTAAATATATTGTTGTTGTTTTTTTTTTACTTTTTTTGCCTTACTTTACTATGTCCTTTTTATGACTTTTTATGCATTACTATACTATGTTCGTTTTGGGAGTTTTTATGCCTTACTATACTATGTCATTTTTATGATTTTTTATGACTAACAATACTATGTCGTTTTTTTTACTTTTCATACCATAATATTATACTATGGAGTTTTTATGACTTTTTTATGACTAAATATATTGTTGTTGTTTTTTTTTTACTTTTTATGCCTTACTTTACTATGTCATTTTTATGACTTTTTATGCCTTACCATACTATGTTCTTTTTTGTAATTTTTATGCTATACTATACTATCGCATTTTTATACTTTACTATCCTACAGCGTTTTTATGCCTGATTATACTATGTCCTTTTTATGACTTTTTATGCATTACTATACTATGTTCGTTTTGGGAGTTTTTATGCCTTACTATACTATGTTGTTTTTATGCCTTCCTATACAATGACTTTTTATGACTTTTTATGCCATAATATACTGTGTCGTTTTGTTGAATTTTTATGCCATACTATACTATGTCGTTTTTTTTAATTTATACACCATACTATACTGTGGAGTTTTTTTGAGTTTTTATGCCATACTATACTATGACATTTTTATGAGTTTTTTTGTCTTACTATACTATGTAGTCTTTATGCCTTACTATACTGTGTTGTTTTTATGCCTTCCTATACAATGACTTTTTTATGACTTTTTATGCCTTACTATACTATGTTGTTTTTTGGAGTTTTCATGCCATGCTATACTATGGCGTTTTTATACCTTAGTATACTCACTCGTTTTCATGACTTTTTATGCCTTACTATACTGTGTCATTTTCTTGCCTTACTATACTATGTACTTTTTTGGAGTTTTTATGCCATACTATACTATGGAGTTTTTATGACTTTTTATGACTAATTATACTATTTCGTTTTTTTACTTTCCATGCCATACTATTATACTATGGTGTTTTTATGACTTTTTATGACTAAATATATTATGTTGTTTTTTTTTTTACTTTTTATGCCTTATTATACTTTGTCATTTTAATGACTTTTTATGCCTCACCATACTATGTCCTTTTTTGTAATTTTTATGCTATACTATACTATCGCATTTTTATACTTTACTATACTATGGCGTTTTTATGCCTGATTATAATATGGCGTTTTTATGACCTTTTATGGCCTACTTTACTATGGCGTTTTTATGCCTTACTTTACTATGATGTTTTTATAACTTTTTGTGCCTTATTATACTGCGATGTTTTTATGCCTTACCATACTTTGAGTCTTATTACTTTTTATGCCTTTCTATATTATGATGTTTTTGACTTATTATACTATGATGCTTTTATCTTTTTTTTTTATCCCTTATATCATTTTCATGATTTTTTATTATCATATATGAAATACGCATAGTAAAATGCAATTCTAATTTTTATATATTATTTTCTTTACTATTTCTTTTTAAATTTAAAACGTTTATTTTTCATATTTACATATATACTAAAATAAAATGAAACGCTTTGGGATGTATATTTACCTAACGTGTATAATATAAACATACATACTAAACACACCTTTTCTATTAGCTAGACATTTACGTCAATATAGGATATTATTCAAATTTTTTAGTTTTTAATGTTTCTTTCAGTTTTTTCCTTGTATTTTGTTTCGTTGGTTTATTTTATTTTTAATTCTTTAAAACAAATAAAAAAAATAACTATAGTAAATCATGTTTTTTCAAATGCTTCTGATTTTAATTAATCCTTACAGAGCTGTCTTGTTGCTTTCCTTCATTTTTTGATTGATGAGATCAAATTAACTTTGCATATTAACACAATTCAAGTTCAAAAATCCTGCACTACATCAGCTGATCAACATAACGAACATGACTGAAACCTTTCAGTCTGATGCTTCAATTAAGTAAACAGAGGTGTAGTCAGAATCTGAGAAATGAAACTTTATTAAACAATCACAGTCTGACAAAAAGACTCAAAGCATAAAAAACTTTAACAATTCACTTCTTTATTTATAAAAAATTCAAACAGAAAGGCGTCGCCACAGGAGCCTGTTACTGACAAAAGGTCAGACAGTTTTCTGGATAAATTATTTATTTTTAAACTGTTTTAGTCCATATTACAGAATCGAGGTCTCAGCTGATCCAGTGTTAAACAGGCTCCTGTAACATTCATACACACAATGATGCTGTGTCTTAAATCACTCCCTGTTTCCTGCCTTCTGCTGTTTTATCTGAGTGTAAATTTGTCATGTACAGAGTGCCCTGAACGCCACACGATGGAAGGTAAAAACAGTATTGCATCACTTTCTGCCGACAGTTCCTGAATGCAGCCCTCAGCATAGTCACAGTTGTGTGACTCAAAAGCTGAGTGACGACACAAAATGAAGATGATTAGAGGAGAGAGTGAGGGAGTGATTTCAGATACAGCGCGAGTCACAATGTTGCCACGGAGACAGCAACCAGGACAGTGGGGGTCGAAGGTCAGAGGGTCAGTGGACGACAGAGTTGAGCGGCTCGGCTCTGATGTTTCCTAAGTCCAGAGTGGAGTCTGTCTCCTCGTCGATCTCGCCAATCACCGCCCTGAAACATGACGACACGGCCGCCAATCAAAAACTCTGATCATGTACTAATCAATACACTGATCATTATTAAAATGGGATTCATTGATCATATAATTTTTCATTTACATGTAAATGTCATGCTAACAGATTATATTATTTTTCAATTAAATTAGATTTCAATCTGATCTATCGATCTATCTTGATATTGATTAAATATCAGTTCTGAGATCAGTCCACAAATGCAAATGTCACAATATGACAATAGACTAAATTGCTGGCACATTCACATACCACCTTAAATTCAGTCCACAGCTTTAACATCATTAACACGCCTGCTCTGTGCAAACCCACGAATCTTTGTATGAAATTTCATATTAATTGTTTTCAAAATAAAAGCGGATTATTAACGAAGGTGTTAATCGACATGTTTGACTTACACGTTGTCTCCTCGGACGATGTAGAGTCCCAGCACCACCTGCTCGACCCCCTGGCTGGAGCTGAACACCCGCTCATGACTCTCATCCAAGATCAGGTTGATGGTCTGATCGAAGCCCTTCAGCGTGCCCTGAACACACACACACACACACACACACACACACACACACAAAACATCAGGTAAAAGTGAAAAAATAACAGAAAAATATCAGATGTATGACCAAGCGTTTAGTTTTATCTGCCACATAATGAAACATAAAATATAAAATCTGAACCATTTTGAAGTCAATGATGTTCTTGTCACCACAATTTCCTGAGCTGACAACCAGCAGGACAGCTGTTTCTATATCATCATTAGAGTCCAGTCACAGAGCTCAGCATCTGTTTTTCTCAAGGTAAAATCCCTCCATTTAAAAAAAAAAAAAAAAAAACCCAGAAGGCTGTTTTACAAAACATATGCCTCTTTCACGAGGTGTTCCAAAGACTCTTGTTTTGTCCTTCTGCATCAAAAAATATAGCATTAAAAAAAGGTCAATATAAAAAAACGGACCTTATATTACTATGCAAACAAAACCAGTAGCCCAAGGTGACATCTCTCTCTTCCCAAGTTGTCATACACAGAAATATGGACATTTCTGACAGTTTTCTGAGATTTTATTGACTAAACAATGAATCAAAAATTTCACCAGGGGACACCTGATGAACAACTCACAGATTTGAATTGTGTTCATTTATAATAAAAATTAAAAAAAAAATGTGGAAAACAAATGCTAAAACTCACAACACAAGCTCAAATAAAATTATGTACATCACTGGCGGGAAAACAGAAACATATTGATTCAATTTACATTGACAAGAAACAAAAAATCCTCACGATTTAAGCTGGAGCCAGAAACTTTTTGTGGAGGTTTTGCTGAAGAAAAAACACTCATCTATTATGATAATCAGCAGAATATTAATAATGTAATACTGGTAATTATACTGTTAAATCTATGAATATTAACAAGAAACATATTTAAACTCACCACAATCATCCTGCCGTCGGAGGTGACGATAGCCACTGTGCCTGAATCACAGTTAAAGAAACAACATTTTCTGGACAAAACGTTAAATTAATGTCAAAAACTTGCACAAAAACAACAAAATGCGGTGTTTTAACACACAAATAACTCTTTAACTACAACCCGGCGCTGCTGAAATGTAAAGTCACACCGCTGTAAGTTAATAAATAACTAAATCAAAATATCTCTCCTAGCTTGTATGCTATGCTATCAAGCATTTATCCATTCATTCTGAATGGTAGTTAGCATGTTAGCCAGTTTGCGGCGGCAGGATACGGTTAATGTAGCTCTCCAGGGCGGTGGACATGTTTCCTGCCGGGCTCGGTGTTTATAAATCCAGCACAGATGAGCGGGAATGTTTCCACCGGTTGTGTGGTGATTAATATTTGCAGAAACGGCACCGACAACGACGAGCAGTAGCAGCTAACAGCGACAACACACAGGAAAACAGACCGCAACAATCCAACAACGAGTCTCCGAGAAGACAGGCAAGAGAGGAGAGCGCCGAGCAGAAACGTCACATCCGGTTTAAGTTTCAACCAAAAAAATGTACTAACAAAATAAATATTGTAATAAATTATGTTAGATTATACGATTTTAAATTATATTCAGCAATAGCTTAGAATTTGGTACATACATTTTGAAATTAGTTTTCAATTTATTAATTTTTTATCAAATTATGGTCAAAATATAGTAATTTTTTAAAAATATAATAAAAAATAATAAAATTCAAATTAAATATTTTTACATAATATATTTTTAAATACATTTTGTGTACATTTTTATTGTACTCCTATTGTACTACTACTATACTACTACTACTATACTATATATTTTCCTTCATAATTTATAAAATGAATACTTTATGAATTATTATACTCAGTAATAAATTCTACTTTTCTATATAATTCATTGAATAACTATCTTTTAAATAAATTAAACTAATCAATTATACTGAAAGAAATTATACATTACATACATATGAATGATGGACTGCAGTACAGAAATGCCACTGGAGTGCAGGTACATTTAAGATAAATAATACATATAACAGTAATAAATTGTATTTTGATACATAATTTATAAATATAATAATAAATATTTGTTTGTTAGTATTTATATTCATAATTGTAATCCCTCTCAGTTCATACAGGATCTCCTTTATAAAAAAATGATTGAAGTGTGTTTTTTTTGTTTTTTTTTATGACAAACATGTATGTATGTGTTTTTGTGTGAGATGACATATGGAGTCCAGACGTTCCAGCAGGTCTTCATCTTTATTGTTGCTCAGTAGTCGTCCATACAAAGGAGGGGTGGAGGAGAGCAGTGGAGCCCGACAGGACAAACACCAGGAACGTCATGCTACCAAAGTATTAAATTTGTACAAAAATACTTTACAACATCCCTGTTCCTTTAAAGAAAAATACAGTTTAGTTGGTTGGTGAAGCTACATGGAAACTAATCTGACCCACTATTTCAAATGGCAGTGCAATGCATGTGTGTGTATGTCTGTGTGTGTGTGTGTGTGTGTGTGTGTGTGTGTGTGTGTTTGTGGTTTTATTTTGCTATATTTGTGGGGTCCGAAAACCAGGAGCCCACTGTACTTGTGGGGTCTGACAGCTTTGTAGTGATCAAATTACTGGACCCCCCCCACACAACCTCAAAGGGCTGTTTTATGAGTCAGGAGTTGGTTTTAATGTTGGGGCCAGAATTAAGGTTATGGTTGTTCATTCAGTCGTGACGGTCAAGGTTAGGGGCTAGTGAATGCATTTTGTCAACAACAGTCCCCACAAAGATAGGTGCACAAGGATGTGTGTGTGTGTGTGTGTGTGTGTATGTGTGAGCAGACGTCTTGCTGAGGTGAATCACTAGAGTGCAAATCCCTGCAATGTAACACACACACACACACACACACACACACACACACACACAGTTAATTCATGCACACTAACTTTGGAGCTAATTTCCTGCCAAAACTTAAACAAACCAAACGTGTTTTGCAAATGTGCTACAATTCACTAACACAGTGTGGTTTGCAAATACAAAACATCATTAACAAACTAATGAATTTTGTTCAAACAGGACTCTTTTCTCATGTAATGTCACTGTTTCGTGTCACTGTGTTCGTGAATCAAAGGGCGTTCATAAAACATGTTTTGTTAGTTAAGTTTTGGCAGGAAATTAGCTCCACAACTAACACAGTGTGTATGGCTTTAGATCTCACTCACAAACCCAGTCAAACCCTCCTGAAGCCACACCTCTCAGCTCTGTGGCTTCTTCCCATTTGTGGAACAGTTTGTCTCAGCTGAATGCAGCTCTTGCTATGGTAACTGGTCAGATATTGAGCTCAGTGTTTGTGTAATGTTCATCCTAACATGGTGATAGCTAGTCGTATGCTAACTTAATACTGGCTGTGTTAACCAGATATTAGCTATGCGCTAACTGAATATTACCTATATTTAAAACACGTAAAGCCCCGATCCAGGTTGTTGCTAACCACTAACTAGCTGTGGTGGCCTTGTGTTAGCAGTATGCTAACTAGAAATTAGCTGTTTGCCATGTCATGGCCCCTGTTTGCTGAGCTATAATTAAATAGCTATTCTCACCAAGTGTTAGCCCTGTTTTAGCCTTGTTCTAAGTTTATGCAAAAACTATCTGTTTGCTAGGTATTATCCCTGTGCTAAGACTTCGCCTGGTGTTAGCCCTGCTTTATCTGTGTATTTAATAATTATTGGCTATGTTTACCATATATTAGCCCTGTTTTAGCCATGTTTTGGGTGTGTGCTAACCATATACTAGCTGTGTTAGCCAGGTCTTAACCCTGCGTTAGCTGTGTGCCAACTGATTGCTAGCTAGGTTTACTAAATGTTGCAGAGTGTTATCTGTGTTCTAGGTGTGTGCTGACCATGTACTATGTTATCCAGGTGTTAGCTCTGTGCTGTTTAAGTGCTAACCCATAGCTCTGTAAGTCGGGTGTTAACCCTAGATTAGCTGCGTGCTAATCAAATACTAGCTGTGTTTCAGAGATTTTAGCCTTGTGCTGGGTGTGTGCTAACCACAAACTGGCTGTGTTAGCCAGGTGGCGGCTCTAGGCTAGTCATATGGAAACACGTTAGGTCAATGCTAGCCTTGTGTGTGCTCAGAGTCTGCTAGCCACATGCTAACCATATGGTAGCATTGTGCTTCAGATTGAAAACATCACAGTTAATAAAATGAGATGTTGTAGAACAGCCAATCAGAACTATGCACACAGAAACAGCCAATCACAGCTCTCTTAATCAAAGCACAGAGCCCGTTGCAGAGCAGCTATTGGTCATTTCAGGTCAGGGAAAGTCTGTTGGTGCTGAGGGAGGGTTCTGAATGGCCAGTTTAAATAGTGAGTTCAGACCGAGGTGAAAGCAGGAAGATGTTGACATCACTCCAAAGTAAAAACACCCACCCACACACACACATACACACACACACATCCACACACACATACATACATACATACACACACACGCACACACACACGCACACACGCACACATATTTACTGTCACAGGTTTCCTGTTCGAACAGGACTTTTTTCTTGTGTAACGTCATTGTTTTCGTGGTTATGAGGTGAAGGTTTTCAGGGTTCAATGGTTCCGACGTAACTGAACCGTTTTTTTAATCTATTTTACATCTTTTCAGGCTCCGTCGCCATGGAAACAAACAAACAAACAGAGAAAACTGACAACAGTCAATCAAAAAACACACAGATCGATTAGCATAATAGATCACTGTAACTGGGGGGGTGGGGGGGTTGGGAGGGGGCATGCTTGGCTTCTTCCTGGGAGCTGATTGGTTCGTCTGTGTGTTGAAGAGAACCAATCACAGACAGGCAGGGAAGCGTTTGTTTTCTGATTGGTTCCAGCCAATCAGCTGAATCTCTCAGAATTGCTGTCTGTCTCTCATCTTGGCTGCCTATTGGACGAGGGTAGAAGGGGGTGGGGGTGGGATTGAGGTGGGAGGAGCTTAACTGGCCTTGTGTTTAACCCACACACATAACACACACACACATACATACACACACACAGTGTGGCCAGTCCAACAGGTGTAAACAGTAGAAAAAGTATTATTGAACTGCTCAGTGTCATCATCATCATCATCATCATCATCATCATCATCATCATCATCATCATCGCCAACATAATTATTACTTTTCCAGCTTGCAGTTCGTTCATGGCACAGAACTAAATAGTGAACCCCTCTGTCTTTCTATCCATTTTATTAGGGATGCTCCGATCAGTACCAGCTGATAATTATTGGAAATTACGTGATTTTTCCAAATCCATCATGGCTGCCAGGTCTCCAACGCTACAACTGGTTATTGTTTGAACATTTTTTGACACTAGACCTGAAAAGATACTTCAGTTATGGTTCCAATACCAAAATATTTTTTTTTTTAAATATACATGTATTTTTACAAAACCCCACTCCAACAGTGGCATAATATTTGTCACCACAAATAGTAGCTGTTTCTGGGCTTTTGATCATATCACATGATCCTACTCATCCACCACATATAATCAAAACAAACTCTCTGAACTAAATGGTAGTCAGGGTTACAGCCACCGTGACCAAAATGGTTTCGTCTAATCTAAACCTTAACAATGCTGCCTCATTGGACAGTTTGTCCAAGTATGTTTAAACTCCACTGAACATTGAGTGGATAAAGCCTTAAGAATCTTTGGGACTTTCTTCCTGTTTGGGCCATAAAAAGACTGGAAGCTTCAGGGTTTTCGTAACCCAGTGACTTCTGATGGTTTGCTTTCAAGAATGGATGGCCTTCAAGACAGGGGCAAAACTAATTCACTAGTTTGACAGTTTTAATCCCTAAGAAAACCCTACGAAGGTTCAGTGTTAACGGTATTCCTCTTGACCAAGTACTGTTTTGTGTCACTTGATCAGTCCGAAGAGGCGTAAAAGTCTCGGTATCGTCCAGCTGTCACTAACAGGGACCCCAGTCAGCAGTGTTGACCCAAATGCAGTATCATTGGCTGCCAATGCAGGGTTCTTTTCTAATACGCTTTTAGAGTGCTACATTTTGGATATATAAGAGTTTCGTAATTTCGCAACTGAATTTGAGCAGATGCAACTTCCCTTCTAGATTCTTATCCTACCTTTACCTACGCACAGCCATACAAACCACCTCTGACTTGATCATTTTCTACTTTATGCTTATACTTTACCACCTCAAAACCATCTTTAATCTTGTCCTAAACCAAACCTTCTGGCCCAATCACAGTGCTTCTGCCCCAAAGCCTTGGTGGGGCCCAGACTTTTTTTCGTACTTGCTGCAAAGTTTCCACTCCAGTTGTGCAAGACATGCAACTAGTTTAGGGCAGCATCAAGGCTGTATGCTTCAAACAAATGCTTTTCAGATTGTCAAACACCTTCGAGACTATTCTGAAAAGCTATAAATATCTCTGCCATTAATAAGATGACACCTTGTACAAACTAGTTTATTTTAAGCATAGCCTGGCCCTCATTATCATAAGACCTGATGGACTGGAACATTCAGCCTTTGATACGAGTAGCAGCATAATAGACTAATATTTTATGTTTAACTTGGAGAATATAAAGGACAAGATTTTGACATAAATCAAAGTGCTGGGTTTTAAAGGGTTTCTCATGCGGGAGCTTCCAGTATAAAAGTTTAAAAACACAAACCAGTCAGTGATCAGCACTGGTTTGGATGATCACAATTACATCAACCCTAGACACCCTGATCGGAGCATCCCTAGTCTCCTTGGCAACCTGCCTGTCCATCAGCAGGTTCTGGATTCTGCACTGGAGTCCTATCAGTCTTTGTGCTGCTGTGGTTCTTGGCCAGTAAAACCAGAAGCCATGGTTGTGGTTCTAGTAAGACCAGAGAGGCCCGGTGTTCACGCGTTTCTGAACTCGCAGAAGCAGCAGCCATTGCTCTGGCTTAGTATCCATGAATCCTTGACCACCAAAACCATGAGTAAGAACCATATCTTGGACCATTAAGACCATTGGCTGTGGCTCTGGCTTCGGTAGGACCAGTACCTATGGTTCTGTGACCCTGAGACCATTAACCAGAACCATGTCTTGGAACAGGTAAGACCACTGGCTGCGGTTCTGGCTTTAGTGGAACCAGTAGCCATGATTCTGTTACCACCAAGACCAGAACCCATGTGTCTTAACCAGTAAGACCACTGGCTGTGGCTCTACTTCCAGTGGGACAAGTAGCCCTACTGTTAGGCTTGTAGAACCAGTAACCACTGATCTTATACCAGTAAGACCTATGGCTGTAGTTCTGGTTTTAGGAGAACCAGTAGCCATGGTTCTGTTACCACTAAGACCAAAATCCAAGTGTCTTGGACCAGTAAAACCATTGGCTGTGGCTTTAGTTCCAACAGGGCCTGTGGTCCTGTAGTCCTAGTCCAAGGCCTGTAGAACCAGTAACCATTGATCTCAGACCAGCAAAACCATTGGCTGTGGCTCTGGTTTTAGTAGAACCAATGACCTTGGCTCTGGGCTAGTAGAACAGTAGCCATTAATCTTGAACCAATAAGACCAGTAGCTCTGGCTGTGGTTCCAGTAGAATCAGTAGTTATAGTTCTGAATTGAGTAACACCAGTAGTACCAGTTTGCATAACTGGTTCAGGTGAAAAGGTGAGGAGTCGCTCCGGTCCATCAATGTGCTTTCAGACTGCTTTCGCAGTTCAAGGGTCAAACTTTAGTGGTCAAAGGTCAAAGTTCATCCAGAGGGTGTGTGTAGCACCATGGGGGGTCCACTTCTAACCAGTCCGGATGGGTCTAATCCAGTTTGGTTCAACTTTGTATTGTTCTCCTCGTTGACCTCTCCGCTCCAGTCTGGTTAGGACCAGTTCAATCCAGTTTCATACAGTTTTTGTCTGCTATAAGGAGCTATTATTCACCTGCCCCACCCCAAGCCCCGCCCCCAGCCCATCTCCAGGTTGGCTCCATTTGATTGGACCACTATCCTCTCCTTGGCCAATAGAAAGCTCCGACGGTCCCAGATCGCTGCTGATTGGCTGAGGGGAGTGGCCACTATTGTTGGTGCCATCAGTGTGATTGACCAGCAGAGAGGAGGAGGTGGGGTTTCGACTGATGACGAGATCCAAGCGATTTGGAGACTCTGCGATCAGAGGAACGACGAGACAGCAGTCAAAGTCCCTGGTCCGCACGTGGTTTATCTGGAGGACAGAAAAGTGTGGGGTTAACCTAGAGAGAGATTTTTGGAAGTGCGGTGATGAGGTATCTTTTTCAATAACCACACTAAAGGCGTGGCTCTATAGGGACGGTCCAAAAGGTGTCAGCTCTATAGGGTCCCTAATCCCTATAGGTACAGGGATTGAAATACCTCAACAACTACTGGACGGATTGTCATAGAATTTGGGACAGACAATCATGGACCCCAGAGGATAAATGATCTCCTGACTTTCATGTAGCACCACTAATATTTGATAGTAATAGTCCTTTGTATTAATAGTACTTTGGTTTATGACCAAATACCTGCAAAACTAATGACATTTCCATCAGCCCCAGGTTTTTGTACCTGTAGTATTCGGTCATATGCTCGGAGGCCACCCTGCTCCGCTGGGCCTCCTGGTCGGATGTTGTTGACGTAGACACCACGGTCCAACAAACCGTCAGAAACACTGAAACCAAAATCCTCCAGGTCTGAGGCCTTCTCTAGAGTCAACTACGAACACAGACACACACTCAGTCAGGCTCACGAGCAGAAGACTGTCAGAGTTAAGTGTGGTGTTCAGGGATCAATGGTCACCTTGTGGAGTTCCACAGGGTTCTGGTTTAGGATCTCATTGACTTCCTGCCTCATCTTCCTCATGGCAAAGGCTCGGCGTTGGGGGTCAGAAGGCAAGGTGTTGGACCTCGGGGTCACCTGGGAAAGTTCAAAGGAAGAATCCTTAAAAACGTTAAAGACATGACATGATGCAGGTATCTTCAAGTGTAACAGTCTAGGTGAGAGTTACCTGTGGTCGGGAGCTGCTGCGCTCCTGGAAACTTGCCTGGCGTCCCAGAGTGCTGCGCAGAGGGGTGGGGTCATGGTTCAGACTGAGGGTGGAGCCCGACATGATGGTTGCCTGGATACAGCCAATCAGAAAAAGGCAATCAGTCAAAACCATCCAATCAGAAGATAGCTGGTTAAAAGCACCACTGGGCTGAACAAAAACATGGAGATTAAAGGCAACCTGGGTGTGCGACCTTTGACCCCAGCTGGCACGATCACACCAGGACGGGACAAGTTTCTACTGACAGATTCTATTGACTTTCTATTTCTAGAATCTATTGTTGTTTCTGAGGACAAGATCTAGTGACAGGATCTATAGCAGTTTTTAGAAACTGCTGTTTCTATTGACAGATTTATTGATAGATCAACTAATAGGAGATACTCTTGGTTTGATTGATAGGATCTACTGTTATTTCAGCTGTTATGTTACTGTATGGAGGACCAGAGATGTACTGAAGAGATCTACTTACAGATTCTACTGTTCTTACAAGAATCTGCTCGTTTCTACTGAGATTCTACCTGTTCTAATTCTACTTAGACTCCCACATCACTCAACAGATGCCCACTCTTCAGCCAATCAGAATCAAGGTATCATCAGACACATGCATGACTGACAGATCCGCTTCACGACGGGCAAAACAAACTACCCATCAGGCTTTGCGCAAGCTCTCCCAGCATGCCTTGCTCAAACTGCCATGCCCGGTGCAACATGACTCTGCCACGTGATTGGCCAGAAGCTGAGTGATGTCACTGAGATGTCACAAATAACGTCACTATGGTCTGCGGCTTGCTGCTAACGGTGCGGGTTAGAGTTCACATTCAAAAACAGCTAACATGTCGGATGTTTGACAACGCTAAAAGTCCAGAGTACAGAGAGGAGAGAGGAGAAGAGACAGGAGGAGAGTTAGTAGGAGGGGAGGGAGGAGGATACCAGAGTGAGGAGGTGCGTCTCCTTTCCAGACTCCTGGAAGAGAAGGAGTCATTTCTCTTTTCAGCGCATTCACTAAAATTTACTGCTGCATTTCCAAACAAGGTCAAAACATGAACAGAATTTACACTTTATACCACTACTACTACTACTACTACTAATACTACTACTACTACTACTAAAACATAGGGCTGAGTAACAATTCAATATCTTTTTTCAAAGAAATCATATCATAAAGATCATTTCATGTCGTGTTTTACGTTTAAATTTATTGCAAGCAAACAGCAAATTAGACTCAACTAAACTAATGTTGTTTTTCTTTTACATGTATGAAGTTTTTCTTAGCTAATTCAAACAATGGAACTAAATTTGTTGCATCAAATGTCAGATTCCTAATATCGTTCACTAATTTGCTGATCAGGAAGTTACTGAGTTCAATCAAAATGTTAGTTTTAGACATTATTTTATTCATGAAAAGTTCTTGTGTTTAGCAACATTTAACATTTGAGCCATTTGTTTGTTTTTTTAGAAGACACGAAAACAGTAATCCTGCTTTGTTTTTGTATCAGAACTATCAGAAAACTTTCAGTTATAAGTGGCCCTATTCATGCTACTCCAACTATTATACTACTTTTACTGTTCCTACTACAACTAATACATCTTCTAGCTGTAACTCTAACAGTACAACTCACCTCTAGCTCTCTGAGGATGCCGCTCTGGCCGCAGGTCTCCAGATCCTCCAGAGCCTGAGACCAGAAGTTCTCTTCCTGGTCCGGTTCTGTCCCATCATGCCCCACAGTGAACCTGGAGAGGAAAAGGTGAACTGTCAGCCAATCAGAGAGGAGAACAGCCGGACGGGTTGACACACAGAAGAGGCCGGTGACGGACGGGTCATGCTGGTGAGAGTGTTTCGTCTACGACAGGACGTGGAGGGGGGCAGGTGGAATTGTGCAGTGACAACATACACATCCACTGGGTGTATGTGTCAGTGTGGCAGGGGGGGTCAAAGGTCACCAGGTGAAGGTTTCAGCTGGAGGTCAGAGAGGGCGACAGAAGACTGTGTGAGGGTGAAAGGTCAAAGGTCAGTGTGGTACCTGCTGTCAGTGATTAGACCGCTGGGCAGGTTACAGGCTCTGCAGATAGAGACACACTGCTGTTACTGCTGTTAGCTCGCGGCTAGCAACCACCAGTGATTTGAATAAGGAACGCTAACATGCTAATGTCATGTAGGAATGGCGGCTGTGGGAATCTGGAAAAAATTCAAAATATAAAAACGTGGAATTCGCTGGCTGAGTTGTTTTTGTGCCTTAAACTGCACAAACCACAAAAGTAACAGGTGGAAAATGTTTATTAGCTTAAAAAGAATTTTTAAAAGTTTTTTTGGTGGAAAAGTTAAAATTAAAATGAGATTTTAGGATCAAGTGTCCAGTCTCTTTCCATGATCTTGTACTTTATGCTGATAAATACGACTCATTAAAGGAGCTATTTGTAAGTTTTGCTATCGCTACACAGCTAATGTTAGCATTAACAGCTGTTACTTACCAGTCTAGAAGAAACATTGTGAGTTCAGCATCAATCTTTATTCCTTTACTCACCAACAGCTGTCTCCAGAGGTGGAAATCAACCCTCTTGTTTTGCTTCTATCTCTATCACTTCTTTTCTTGCCACTGCAGTTAGCATGCTAACCAGCTAGCCCCGAAATGGTTGACCCGTCTTGTCACTTTCCGATACCAAGTCACTGTAGTGTCCAGACTGTCCTGAAGAACTAGTGCCACTCAGATGGTTCTTATATTGTAAACAGCTGAAACTCTTGGCAGCTGCTAATGCTAACATTGGCTATGTAGCAATAGCTAATTACAAAAAAGCTCCTTTAAATGTAACAAGACAGTTTGTCCTGAGTGAAGTTAATGTAAGACAAATTAACCTGATGGCAATTTAACATCTCATGTCGGACCTGTTTTTTTGTGTCACAACTCTGAACTGAACGTAACGGCTGCAGCAGCTACATCACTGTAATAAATGGAATTATCTCAATCATCATCAAATCTTTTCCACAAAGAAAATAAAATCAGTTTCTCACTGTTTAACAATTCACAAAAGTTGAAGCCAGTAATGTTTTCTATTCCACGTCTGAAAAGAGCTGATGTTTATTATATTTTAATGGTAAACAGGAGGAAGCTGATAAATTTGGTGAACACCTCCACCTGCAGGAGGTAACACTATGTAGCCTGGAAATGCTGCGGATAAATTCCACCTCCGAGCTGTAATTTCACTGGTTTCTTAACCATGAAAATGTAAAAATAATGAAGTTATCATGATGTTGTGGCTTCAAGTTTTCAATCCATCTATCATGACTATTAGTGGGTGTGCTGTGTCTCCTTTACTGTTTCAATTGGTCCAATTTCTTTTCATCTATAAATAATCATAAAAGTGTGGCTTTGGAAATTTTAAACTGTATATACGTTTGACAAATTCCTTTACCTGTACCTGTCTGAATATATTGGACCTGTTTTTAAACATGCTGGAAAAATATTAGTTTTCCAGCATCACTGTGTCATTATATGTATTATCTGATGTCTTTAATAATCCTTTTAAACAGATACAGTATAAACCTGTTTTGATTTACACCCATCTGTTTGACATTTTCTGTCTCTCTGTCTCACCCTCCGAGTGGTGGGCGGTCCCAGTCGTCGTCACTCAGACCCAGATCTGATAGCGGATTGGCTCGCTGGCGAGTGGAGGACGATGACTGGCTGTTGGTTGTCTTGGCGTTGCGCCACTCGTGGAAACTGTAGGGAGACGACTGAAAAGGTGGAGCTGCAAACAAACAGAAATGTTTTATCACTGACTCATAACTTGTATCTGCAGGGTTCACCAAATAAAACACTTTTAATAACTTTACACTGTAACAGCTGTCGAAGAAATGACCCAACAATAAACAACACAGCCAAGAATTATTTAAGCACATTAAGTCATTAATCAGTTGACATGACCTGGAACCATGTACAGATTACTGAACAGGCTCAGAGCCTCTGTTTGAAGAAACTATCACTTCTTGTTTGAAAGACACTGAGTTCAACTAACGACCACAAACAGATACAAACTGATTGATGGATTAACCATTAAACCAATTCATTTGTTGAAGTTTTTGCCAAAATTGAGACTTATTTAACATTCAAGACCCCTGTAATTAAATTTAGAACTAAAACTCTCTCAGAAGGTCAGAGGTCAAGTTCCTACCTGGCGAGGTGAAGCTGCTGTCCATGTTGGACCCGTCCCAGGACTCCACGGCGCTGTCCACAGACGGCAGCGTGCTGAACGCTCTCTGGCTCGATGGGGGCGCGACCATGATGACAGGCTCCTCCTCCCCATCCTGGTTCTCCTGACCAAGCCCCACCCCCGACCCCAGACCTGGACCAATCACACAGGACTTGGGACTCGACACTAAAGACAGATTAACATGAAGTACTTTGTTAGTTTTTGTTAGCTTTTTATTTCAAAATACATGTGCTGAAGCTCAGAGCGTGTGTGTGTGTGTGTGTGTGTGTATGCGCGCGTACATTCTCCCTGCTTCTTGATCTTCAGTGTTACTGTCTCTCCCGCCTGCTGCAGCAGACTGATGGCTTCACTCAGAGGTTTCCCCTTCAGGCTGCTGCTGTTGATCGCTAGGATACGATCACCGACGTGGATTGCACCAGTCCTACAACACACACACACACACACACACACACACACACACACAGGGTCAGGTCATGCTACAGGAAAAAATTACATCAAACAACATTATAAAAAAAAAACAAAGCTGCATCACTTTTCTTTTTTATTATCTTTTATATTATTGTGACGACATATTTATATATAAATATAAATATATTTACTTGATGGTCACTTTATTGTGTGACCAACATCACCACATGTTTAAAGCACCAGGAGCCTGAACCACAAACTGAGACACTTTTCCGGTGTCACGGAGCTGGCTCACTTTTAACCGGGTGCAATCACGGAGGCAGGTTGCTATGGTAACCGGGGCACATCACCATGGTAACATCACCTACGCTACTCCGGAGCGGGTTAACTTCGGAGGATCAGATCAAAACCCCCGCCAACGCTGCCCCCCCCAACCTTCTGACCAATCAGATGACTGGAAAAACTGAGTCATGAGTTCTACTGGATCAAAATAGTTTACAGTAAAGTAATCTATTTATCTATCTATTGAATTTGAGGTGAAAACCTTTCAGCATTTAACCAACACAAAGAAAAGACATTTACTGCAATTAGATAAATATGATTAAATATATCAAACGAACAAATGATACAGATTATGTAAAAGTTCAAACATTATTCATTATTAACAGCAGAGGGCGACATTCTCCACTTCATCCTGACCTGAACACATCTGTCACCGCTTCACAGAACCAGTGGTGAATCTTCTGTTTCTAATGTTTTCATTTGATTATTTCTGTCTACAAGATACAGGAGCGCAGATAACTAATGATTATTTTCATTTTCGATTCATCTGCTGATCATTATCTCGATTAATCAATGAATTGTTTCAGAAAACAGCGAACAAAGCTGATGTAATTGTTTTTAAAAAGCAGCAAATCTTTACATGTGAGAAGCTGAAACCAGGAAATGTTTCGCATTTTTGTTTAAAACAGTTATTGAATTAAAATAGTTGCTGATTCATTTTGTGTTGATCAACTATCATCAGTTAATCAACTAGTTTTTAATTTCATGATATAAAAGTATTATAAAAATATAATAGATTAGACAAATTGATGAAATGAAAGGTAAATAAATAATGAATATAAATAAAAAACGTGGACAAATAAAACTAAAAAACAGGCAAAAAGTAAGTAAAACAAAAAATTGCCAATTAATTTACTCTCAGACTTTTCTTAAAAATACATCTCAAGTGAATTTAAATGAATTCATCTCAACAGAGAAAAAAAGATTTTAAAAAAACAAACTGGGTAGTTTTCTAAAAACACACTGAAACTTCTTCCGTAAACATGAGAAACATCCACAAGTCATTAGATGATCAGCTGCAGAAGGAATGAAAGAAGCTTCACCTCTCAGCCAGCCCCCCCTTGCTCAGTGAGGAGATGATGATGGGGTCAAACGGCTCCTCGGTGCCTGAGATGGTGATTCCCAGCGGGCCGCCGTACCTCTGCAGCTCCACCGTGTAGATGATGCTGCCAGACACTTCCTGTTCATCTGAAAGGTTCAATAAAGATTCATTCAACAACAAGCATGTGATGATCAGGCTGCGAGTCGCATCAATAGTGACAGAAAAATGATCTGCGTCTGTCCTGAAAGGCCACGGTTCTCGTTGATAATGAAGGTTCTAATTAAGACGGATGATGTTCTAGGTGTCACCTGAAGGGGTTCCTTTAAGGGGTGACTGAGCAGGAAAGGTTTTAGGTGTCCTTGAGGAGGTTCCTGTGTTCCCTAAGGAAAGTTATGTGGTTCTTGATAAGTTTCAAACTGTCCTTGAGAAACATTTAAGGCTCATAGAAGAGATTCTGCAGTAAGAGGTTTTTGAGGAGGTTCTACGGACGCCTAATGATGTTTAGGAGGTCAGTGAAAAGGTCCTCGAAGTTTCTGAGGAGGTTTTAAGTGTCACTCAAGACGTCTAAATATTTCCCGGCGAGAGCATCTCCTGAATTTCCTGTCTGCAGTGCATTGTGGGTCGATAGCAAACATGTTTTTAGCGTGAATACATTAGAATCGGTGCGTGGATCTGAGACACAGCTGTAGATGATCAGTCTAAAGCGTCATGAGTGACGATGGACAGAACAAACGAACAGATGAAGACGATTTATCTGCCACAGTAAAATAAAGACATGAGACCTGAGTTGTCTTCGTCTTTGCGGATCTTCAGCTTGACGAGCTCCTCACACTGCTGGAGGATCTGAACGGCCTCCTCCATCGAGCAGTTCTCCACCCGGATGTTATCGATGGCGAGCAGCTTGTCTCCGAGCTCCAACGTCCCCGTCCTGAAAGACACATTTTAAATAAAGTTCATATAAAAACACAGCACAGGAGTCGCAGTAACCAGCTGGTTAGACAACAGAAGATCTTTTAACTCACATTTTCTGCTTCACACACCAAAACACATGACCTATAAACACACACACACACACACACACACACACACACACACACACACACACACACACACACACACACACACTGTCCTGGACTGTTAGCCTAAATTAACCAGCCAACTACAGACAGCTGACTGAGCTTAAACGCTTAAACACAGCTGACACTTCTGTTTGAGTTTATTCTCCCATCTGATACTGTCTGTGTGTGTGTGTGTGTGTGTGTGTGTGTGTGTGTGTGTGTGTGTGTGTGTGTGTGTGTGTGTGTGTGTGTGTGTGTGTGTGTGTGCGTGTGTGTGTGTGTGTGTGTACCTGTGAGCGACGCTGCCTTTCTTGATGTCAGAGATGATCAGAGGATCACCTGGTTTCCTGTTGGACGGAGCTGCAGACACACAGAGAGAAAACAGTGAATAATTGAAGGTGTTTCCTCCGCTGCTCCTGGATCAGAATTAAATGTTAAAGAGAAAAAAACATTTAAAAAGATCAAAGCAGGAAATGTAATATTCAAATGACAAATGTGTATGACAACATGAGGAGGTCCAGGCCTGGAAATCACTCATCTAAAATAGATTTCCCCGACGTCTGCACATGATGTAAGAACAAACTAGAATTAAAATTCATTAAACCTGCTTTTATTTTCATGTTGTAAGTTCACTAAAGCTTTCACGTTAGCTTTGTGACACTGAGCGTTATCCTGCAGGAAGTAGCCATTAGAAGATGGTAAACTACGGCCATTCAGTTAACTACCACTCTGCAGTGACGTTGTGTTTTCTTTACTTACAGCTGATGGTGATTCCCAGCTCCACCCCCGGTTTCTTAGGGAGCTTCACGTGGAACGTACCAGAACTGGGGATGACCGACTCTGAGAGAGAGAGAGAGAGACTTTGAGCAGCAAAATAAAGGCTCTCTTCACCCTTATCTCAAATCATTTCTAATCATTCATCACTTTTCTTGGCATCTGTTGAACAAATACACTACAATACTAACACAATGCAATGCAGCAGTACATTTCATTTGTTGTGGTTTGTTTTGCTCTCACCAGTCCGTCACTGGATTTTGTTTCTGAAAGTATTCTGCATGAATAAAGTTATAATTCCACCTAGAGCTCGGTTTTTCCTTCAGTGAGAACGAGACCGGTTGCAAATGAATCACTGAAAAAAAATCTGAGATATGGGCAGTAAATGTCTTACTGTCCACATACTTTTGGCCACCCAGCGGAAAGTACAATTGACGCACATTAATGAAGCCGGTCTTTGGTGTGATGTTGTGATGGTTAAAAATGACACACAGACGACAACAGGATATTGTAAGGACAGCAGAGGCAACAGAATCAGCTTTCTGAGAGCAACAATTCATTTTATTATCAATTAAGCTGTCAATTATTTTCTCGATTGATCAATTTGTCTATGAAATGTCAGAAAATAATTAAAAAAAAAAAAAGTGACTGCTTTGTTGTGACATCACAAAGTTCCAGAAGTCCTGACGGCTGGTTTTAAGGCTCAGTTTCTGAATACAGGCTGTGTGCATTTCTCTGTGGACTGAGGCTTTGATACTTTCACAGTATTAATATAGAAGCTAGAGCTGATCTATAATCACACTACACATGGACACAGACCTTTACACTGGAGGAGCTTTAAAATGTGCAATCAGTGAAACATCAATGATACTGGAACAGATCACACCACACAATGTGACTGCTCCTCATACTTTCCTGTGATTATCATCAATGATATCTCATTCAGTGACTCCACCCCTGGAGATTATTCACTGTGTGTGTGTGTGTGACTCATCACTGACAACATGTTGTGTTGTCTTCAGGCGTAGGTGGTTATTTATAATAACAGGAGTATGTTACATTAACAAAGAGTCTGACAAATTACAGGGAGACGCCAGAGAAGCAGAGCTCCACACAGACTGACTGTCAGGCGGCCAAAGCCAGAACAAACACACACCACACTGTTGGTTTGTCTCTGCTCAGATGTAGTGGATCACGGCCTGAATTTCATCAAACAAAAACAATCAAAAACCTTTGTTAAAGACTGATTTTCATGTAAAAACAAGTCTAAAACTAACAGCAACAACATTAAATATTATGTTTATCTTTTGATCTGTTATTTGAATGCCATAAAACGTATAAAAAGACTAAGTACAGACTTAAAGAGGAGATTCCAGGCTTTGAGGTATTACATGAATATATTCATGTATGGAAATATAAATGTATCAATATGGAAATATGAATTTATGAATTATTATATGTGACTCGTGTGTGTGTGTGTGTGTGTACCGGCCACGTCGAACTCGATCTCCAGCGTGAGCTGAGCGGTGATGGACGAGTCTCTGAGAAGCTGATTGGTTTCTTCCAGGGTGGAGTCTTCAGTAGGAACTCCATTTATGGACAAAATCCTGTCGCCGATCTGCAGGATGCCACACCTACACACACACACACACACACACACAAATACAGACGACAAAGGTTAGAGCTGCAGGATGTAAGATGGATAAATGAAAAATAAAATAACTTAGAGCTTTAAAAAATTAGATTTTTAAACAGATCAATTAAACCAAAACTACATTAAATAAACATATAAAGTCAATTTAATTATAATAAAACAATAAAGTGTAAAATTTACAGTTTTTTCTTCTGTTAACCAGAAAGTTTTTGGCATTTTTGCTTGAAAAATTAAACAATTCATTGATTACAGAATGCAAATAATAAGAAATAAGATAGAATAAAATAAAAGAAGGCCAATTAAACCAATGAATTATGAAAGAGAAGCAATAATATTTGTGATTGAATGTGATTTATCGTGTATTTTATTGCAGTATTGTGTTCGTGTTGTGTGTATTCACCTCTCGGCGGGGCTGTCTGGGTCGATGTAAGCGATGAGCGGTGGCGAGGATAACGTTTCCGTGGCGAAGACTCCGCCCTGCAGCTGCAGGCCGAACCCCATGATGCCGTCGCCTAGCAACGTCACCTCCGTGGTTTCCGTGTGAACGACCTGACCGGCCAGACCCACGGTGCTGGACGCAAGAGACACTGATGGGACAGAGACGGACAGAGTCAGGAGGGAATTAGAATAGAATAGAATAGAATAGAATAGAAAACTCGAGCTACAACCGAAGTCCGAGGTCAGAGGTCAGACTCACATGAGCTCTTGAAGTCCTTCTTCTTGGCCTTCCTCCTCATCAGCGTGCCCCGTGGACTCGTGGGATACATGTTCCTGGGCAAGGTGCTCATGTTGAGGGACGAGAGACTATAAGCCGACATGGAGCCAGGAGAGAACGAGTGGCTGAGAGCTACAGAGAGAGAGAGAGAGAGAGAGAGAGAGAGAGAGAGAGAGAGACAGAGAGAGAGAGTGTTTTGATGAGTAGATGTCTCTCTTTCAAAATAAAATATCAGAAAGAGAGAGAGCGATGATGAGCAGAGGTCTGTCTTTCATAGTAAAACTTCAGAAAGCGAGAGAGTGACATGATGAGAGAAAGCCTATCTTTCAAAATAAAACAACACACTTCCGAGAGAGCAACACATGATGAGCGGAGGTCTCTCTTTCAAAATAAAATACCAGAAAGAGATAGACATCATGAGCAGAGGTCTGTCTTTCAAAATAAAACACCAGAAAGAGATAGGCATCGTGAGCGGAGGTCTGTCTTTCAAAATAAAACATCAGAAAGAGAGAGACATAGTGAGTGGAGGTCCATCTTTCAAAATAAAACACCAGAAAAAGATGGACATCATGAGTGGTGGTCACTCTTTCAAAATAAAACATTAGAAAGAGAGAGACATAGTGAGTGGAGGTCTGTCTTTCAAAATAAAAATCAGAAAGAGAGAGAGAGAGAGAGAGAGAAGTGGACGTACAAGGGTTGTTTGTATGGCGGTTGTGCGATCTGGCAGCTGATTGGTCAGGGTGGTACGTGTTGTAGTGGTAGGGGGGGAGGATGGGGGCGGAGCCTCCGGTCTCCCAGGGGAGGGGGCGGGGACTACGCTGCACCTTGACTGCGCACACATACCCACACACACACACACACACACACAGACACACACACACACACACACACAGACACACACACACACACACACACAGACACACACACACACACACACACAGACACACACACACACACACACACAGACACACACACACACACACACACAGACACACACACACACACACACACACAAACACACACAGAGGAGGGTGTTTAGGTTAAAACAAAAGGAAAGGTCAAAGGTCAGAGGTTAGGTTGCTTCCTGTATCGCAGCCTTATAAAAGATTACATGTTGTTATGTAATCTTTCATATGTACAGTATATTACATATGTGGCATTTAGGGTCAGTTTGGTGCTGGTATATTTGTGTGTTTATACTGTGCTGTGGTGCGTTCAAGGACGATTGGGGTTAGTATGTCTTTGTAGGTCTTTGCGTGTGTTTATAATGTGCTGTGTTGCCTTCAGGGCCAATTTGAGCCTTATGTGGATTTGTTTATACCGTGCTGTGGTGCGTTCAGGGCCGGTCGGGCCTGGTGTTGCGGCAGGATCTCCATGCGGACGGTCTGACAGGAGGCAGAGAGCAACTGAGTGGCTTCAGCCAGAGAACAAAACTCCATCGACTTCCCATCAACGGACAAAATGTGATCTCCTGCATGAAGAGCACCACACCTACACACACACACACACACAAAACACACACCAACACAAAGCACCCACACATAAAACACACAGACAGGAGGGGCTTAAATCAAAGTTTGTATGAACTTGTGTTTTTGATCCTGTCCAGGGTCAAAGGTCACCCACCTGTCTGCTATGCTGGCTGGTTTGACCTTGTCGATGATGATGACCTGCTTGCTGCAGAACATGGAAGTGGACAGAGCCACGCCCAGACTGGAGCCCGTTGCCTTGGCAACCTCCACGAGCAGCGGCCCTGACGCCGTGGCAACTGAGTCTGACAAAGGGAAACACAGACAGAAATTTTATTTAAATCATTTTAGTTTCAGATTTCAAACGGTGTTCCTCAGGGTTCAATCCTGGGTCCTGTTTTATTTTCTCCATGTTGTTCCACTACATCATATTATTTATTTACTTATATATACATATATATTTACATATAATCTGATACTGATTGGAGGATTATCTACTGACTTTTTTAACAGCTGTAACGTAAAAACAAACAAACTCAAAGATATTCAAATTATCAGAGACAAGACAAAGAAATGGAGCAGAATTTCACACTTAACTCATCAGATTTTTGGAATTTTTTCCTTGAACAATGACAGAAAAAACGTTGTCAGTTGCTGATTAAAGCAACGTATTAACCATTAAAGCTTTAACTGACCCATCACTGAGACGTCATACTCAATCAGCAGTGTAGCTTCCTGCCCACACTGCTTCAGGATACTCATGGCCTCCGATAGCGTGCTGCCGTGGAGACGAATCCCATCGATGCTGAGCAACCGATCGCCTGGTTTGACGGTTCCTTCCCTGGAAAGAGAGAGAGGACAGTTTTCAGTTTTATATTAATTTACTTATATCCTCTTATTTTTATCTGTGTTTTTATTTGATCATTATCATCACTCAGATTATCCCATTATTTAATCTCTCTCTGCTGCTGCCAGGTGATCAGGAACAATGGAGAGAGAGGTTCAGAGTTTAAAAATAATAATGATAATAATAATAAACTTTATTTGTATAGCACCTTTCATACAAGACATGAAATGAACATAAAAACCTGTTAAAAACACTGGTGTAAATTGAAAAACATTAAAAAATATTAATATTAAATCAGACGGAATAAAAATAAAATAATGAATAAAGTAATTAATCATTAAAATAAAATAAGTGATTACATAGAAAGCATAAAATTGGTAAGACATCAATAAACCTGAAAGGTCAGAGGTCATTCACCTGTCAGCCGGTCCACCTGGCCTGATGGTTGTTATGACGATGGGGCGAGACTTGTTCCTGTCTTCATGGGCTCCACCTGCAGAAAATCATGTCATGTATTTATATCTATTCATTGTTTATTCTTAACACAAGCACATGCACGCGCACACACACACACACACACACACACACACACACACACACACACACACACACACACACACCTTCCTCACCTCTGATGACAAAGCCAAAGCTGTTTCCTTCTTTGTGAAGCGTGACCTCCACGTTCTTAAACATGACCCCTGACCCCTGCACCGCTGCAACAAACCAATACATTTACACGTCAACATCAGCTCCGACTTTAACCCTCTCTAAAAATATGAATATAGAAGATTTCATGGTTTGAAAAAATATTGTGTCACTATTTATTCACATAAAAATATGAGAAATAAAACTAAGATTCATGCATTTTACATGTCAAGTTTAAAACATTTACAGCATTGATAGGAAAATAGTGGCTCATGGACCAAATGTGGCTCTGCAACTAAAATATTTGACCCGTAATGATCACTGATGTTGAAACTTATAAACTTACACAATATTTTATAAATCTACAGCAGGAAACAGTGTGACTCCCAGTAAAGAAACAAATATAATCAATAATCTGTCTCATCTGCCAAACTCAGTTAAAGTCTCATGCTGCAGTTCAAAGAAACATTTGTGTATATGAGTTAGAGCTGAAACAATTAGTCGATTCATTGATTAGTCAATCAACAGATATTGATAATCAAATATTTGCTTTAGTTTCAGAGCAAACAGCTTAATGTGAGGATTTTTGCGGGAAATTATTGAAGGCATTTTCCACTTTTCTGACATTTCATAGACAAAACTGATTTAATTGATTAATTGAGAAAATAATCTGCAGCTTCATCAATAATCAAAATAAATAATAATTTAAACTGGTTTGCTCACCTTGTCTCTTCATGATATATAAATAAAGTTATGAAGACACAGACTCCAGAGGGTTCAACAAACACTAATACTGCTCTACTTATGATAACTATGATAACTATAACTATAACTATAACTATAACTAGTACTTACAGACGGGCGGCAGTTCGTACTCGACTTCCAGGACGACCCGCTCACCGACGTTCTTCAGCAGACTGATGATCTCGTCGTGTCTGAACTTGGCCAGGTTGATGCCGTTGACAGAGCGGATGTAGTCGCCCACGTTCAGCTGGTCGCTCCTGAACAAACAGTCAAAACACCAGCTCTCAATCCAGATTAATTTAGGAAAGGGCTCACGTCCAGACTGGGGTCAACCTGAAGAACTGATCCCACACTCGACTTGACGAGATCGGGCTTTAAAAACATTTTTAAAGGGGCTGTTTGTTGAGTTTTCTCTGCTGCTGAACGTGGGAGCAAGTGGTGATGATCGTCACTTGATAAGAGCTTCGGGCATCTTTGTCTTTATAACACACAAGGTTATAATACGTCCTCTGAGCAGCTACGTCTTCATGACGGTAACGAGAAGGGCCGGAGCTAGCTGGTTAGCAAGCTAACTTCAGTAGAAGAAATGACTGGATAGAAACAAGAGTTAACATTCGTGTTTGTTTCTACCTCTGGAGAAAGCTGTTGGTGAGTAAAGGAATGAACGACTGGTGAGTAAACAGCTGTTAATGCTAACGTTAGCTATGTAGCAATAGCTAAACTTACAAATAGGCTAATAGACTTCATTTGTAAAGCACTTTTTAAAACAAACAAAAAAAATCAAAACAAATTCTAATTGTGGTTTTTATATTGTGGCCGTGGTCAAACTGCGTTTACATTGATCTCGCCTTATAACCGCTGCAGAACTCAAGATTACAGCATGACTGTGTTGAGGTTTTCCTTTGTGATGCCTTCACTGACTCACTGAAATCACAGTAACAGTGCTTTTTGCCCGTTGCAGGTTGATTATTTTCTTTTTCCAACAGCCAAATGGTCGTTTGAATTTCAAATAAAAAGTCCAGCAACAAAACGATCAATAAAATTTTACATGTGCTCTAAAATTAACCAGTGGCCAGAGGGAGGAGGCTGAGATAGAAACCGAACAGACGGTTATTCGTCACCTTGGGTTTAAAAAGCTGGAGAAGAATAGAATTAAATAGAATAGAATAGAAAGTGACGTGTTACCTGGCGGCGATGCCTCCCTGTCGCAGGTTTGAAACCCGGGGTTTCCCATCTTTGTCAATGCCGCCCGAAACCGTCAGTCCGAGCGTCGTCCCCTCCTTCTTCATCAGCTCCACCACCGAGCAGCCCCGAAACTCGTCTGCATCACAACAACAACAACGAGGACATGTGATTGGTTGGAATAAAACCATCTTTTTTATTCCACTTCATCTTCTTTCCTCCAGTTTCCTGCTCCGAATCTCACACAGAGAAATAAAATAATCATCTGGACAAAGAGAGAAGTGGAGTCATCTTCTATTCTGTCGTCCATCTATATTTTATCAAAGGCCTGAAATATTTAGCAGCGGGAGAGATGGATAGAGAGAGAGGGGAAGATATTTCAGTGCAGATCTGGTACAATGTGATGTGGCTGTTCCTCAGGTGATAAAACAGAGAGCGGGATTTTATTGAAAAGTTGTATTTTAATATTAATCGGTTGAGGCTTCGCCCTCTTTCATTCAGACAGGATTAAGTCATATGATCTTTGACAGCGACCATCATTGTCTTCTTCTCCTCCCTCATCGTCCTCCTCCAAAGAGGCTTTACAGTGTCCTCTTCACCTTTTCTAAAACACCAGCACTGACTCAAAACCCAAAATCTTTGATCCTGAAAAAAAAGAGTGAGATGAACCAGTTTCCTGCAACGACGGGGGAGAAAGTCTTGAAACCGGCAGCTCACATTAAGCTGAAAGAAGATGAAGTACAACAGAGTTTTGTTAAAGCTGCATGATTTCAGATTTTACTGTAGATCTAAAGTTTCATCTGATACGAAACACAAAGTGCAGCAGAGCTCCATTAGCTCATCTAACTGCTTCAAAAGATCTACCAGTTCCTACAAATGGCTCATCTCTGCCAGTTTCTGTAACTGGTTCACAGCTCTACCAGTTCCTTTGAATAAACTATACACCATTTGTTTCTCTGAATTGGTTTTGAAGCTCAACCAGTTACTAGTTCAAACACTGTACAAGTTTCTCTTCCTGGTTTTGAAGCTCAACCAAAGCCTGTAACTCGCTCTGAACCTCCACCATGTTCTCTAACAGGCTCCAAGCAACGAGCCAGTCTCTTGAACTGGTTTCGACATTCTACCAGTTCCTTTGAGTCGCCTCTCCAGTTTCTCTAACTGGTTCAAAAACCCGGCTAGTAACTAGCTTTAAACCTGTACCATTATCTCTCAGTGGTTATGAAGCTCCACAAGTTCATCTGACTGGTTCTGGACCTCTAGCGGTTCTTTAACAGGTTCCAAAGTTCTTCTAAACTGGTTCTGTAAGTAGTTCTGTTGCTCTACCAGTAACTTCTCTTCCTGTAACTTCCTTCCTTGTAACTGGTCCTGGATCTGCTAGCTCCTCACCCAGCTCCTCTGTGACTGGTTTTAAAAACTGTACCATTTTGTCCACCGCACATCAAAGTGGTTTTGGACCACTACTAGTCCCCTGCACTAGTACTGAAACTCTAACGGTTCCTCTACTTTTTCTTCTTCAGAATCTCTACCAGTTCCTGTAAGTGTTTTAAGAAGCTGTGACCAGTTACTGTAACTAGTTCAGACGTTCTAACTGGTTCCAAGGTTTTACCAGTTGTTCTAACAAGTTCAGAACCTTTAGAGCAGTAGTTCTGAAGCTCTGGCAGTTTCCTCTACTGGTTTATGAACCTCCAGTAGTTCCTCTAGTTCCTTTCTAACTGGTTTAAAACCTTTACTATGCTCTCCTATGGTTCTTAAGTCCCACCAGTTCTGTAACTGGTTTTGGACCCCTACCAGTTTCCTTAACTGGATCGGAAGTTCCAAATCTCTAAAACTGGTTCCGAACACCACCAGATCATCTTACAGATCGACCACTCTTCCTGGAGCAACTGGTTCTTAAGTCCCATCAGTTTTCTCTAACTGGGTTCCAATCCTCTACCAGTTCCTTACCAGTTGGTCTTGAGGTTTATGAAGTCTATATGACCAATTCAACCAACTGGTTCAGGGCGGCGACCAGTTAAGTAAGTTCCTCCACTGGTTTTGAAGCTTCACCAAATAATGTCACTAGTTCTAAACCTTTACCATTTCTTCTTACTGGTTGTTGAAGCTCTACAGTTCTGTCACTGGTTCAGAAGCTCTCCCAGTTCTCTTTAACTTGTCCAGACGTTTTCTACAGTTGCTCTACCGGGTTCAGATCCCAGTGTCTGGTTGACTTAAAGCTCCATCAACTGGATCTGAAGCTCCGCCACTTCCACCCAGTGCCTCTTACTGGTTCCTTTACTCCGTTTTTAGCTCGACCACGTCACAGGTTTGTGATGGTTTAAACTGGTTCCAAAAAGTCTAACAGATCTTCACATATTCACCTGCGAGTGTAATGGCTAATTGTGATTACAGCGCTCAGATAAAGGGTTGCAAGTAGGACACCAGCTCCACGGTGGGAGGAGATAAACTGCAACTCCAAGCATCTTCCTGCAGTCACAGATATAGAAAACATCAGCAAACCTGTGTGTGTGTGTGATGTGTGTGTGTGTGTGTGTGTGTGTTGTTGCGGCGCACTCTATTTCAAGAGCTGTTATCTTCATCAGAGCTTATTAGCCTCTGCTGGTGTGAATCAACACACGAGAAGAATCAGAACAAAATGGAAAGGAAACAATGGACACAACAGACGACAAATGACAAAATCAACTAGAATTTATCAGAACAATAAACTGTGTGTGAGTGTTGTGTGAGTGTGTAGTGAGTGTGTGTGTAGTTGTTGGTGTGCTTAGTGAGTGAGTGTGTGTGAGTGGTGTTTACCTGGTATACTCTGCCTCCTGATGGCCAGCGCTCCTTCTGGATCTCGACCCGGCGGAGTGTTTGGTGTACGGCCCCTCATCTGAAACACAAGGAAACACACAAAACACATCACTATTAAATACACAGTAAGAAACACACACTGGTTCAGAGCTTCTCAGAACTTGTTTCAACTTGCACTGTGCCAGTTCCTTTTAACTGTGTTCTGAAGGTCTAAACTGAGCCCCTAACTGGGTACAGACCTCGTCCAGTTCCCTTTAAATGGTTACAAACTCCATTCAGATCTGAAGTTCTGAAGGTTCTGAAGCTTCAGCAGTTTCTCTAATTGGTCCTGAAGTGCCACTTGTATCGAGCTCTTGAAACCATCACCACTTCTCTAACTGGTTACAGGTTTCCTCTACCTGTTCTACAGCTCGACCAGATCCTTTTAATGGTTTTAAACCTCTACCAGTTTCTCTAACGGCTACGGCTCAAAACAGTCCGTTTAATATGTTAGAAGTTCAACCCAGTTCCTTTAACGGGTTTCGAGGCTCCTATAAAAACCAACTGAGAGTTTTAAGTTTTTGACAACCTTTGACTTCCGAGTCCAAACAAACCACAACAGACAGAAACCTCACATATTCAGTATCCACCAAATGTCCTTGACACCTCCCATAATTGCATCTCTACTCACCATCATCATCAGACGTTACAGGACTTTCCACTACAGAAATACATCTCAGAGCTAAAGTGCTAATCATTAAAAAAACAAAACAAATGGAGAAGCTACATTAACCTTGAATTAAAGCTTTGCGCCCCTGCATTCACAACCAGTAATTTAGTGCCTCTAGGTTC